GGATCCCGTCCCCTCGGGGGAATCCACTCCCCAGCTCCGGCATCCCTCCCTCCCGGCCGGCCGGTCGGCCACCGCCTGGCGCCCCCCTCTAGCCCGCCCAAGCAGATCCAGAGAGCGAGAGGAGGAGACAATCCCGCCCCTTTGCCCAGCGCAAAGCTACGGTGCGCCTGCCCCTTTAAGAAAGCCCTGACTGATGAGGATTCTGACCAACGAGCTCCCCGCATACTCCGGGAGAGCCCCTGAGATACGGCCCCCTCGTGGAGATGGGAGGGGAAGCCAGGCTCCGAGTGGCAAGGAGGCCAAGCCAATGGATGGAGGAGCTGGTGGGCGGGAGGGGAACACGAGAAGCCAATTGGGGAAGCCTGCGGGCGGGGCTGACTTTTAGGATGATGTCATTCGGTGGTTCTTCAGGAAAAATGAGGGGGGAGGAAGAGGAGGAGAAGAAAAATTAGATGCATCGCAGGTAAAACCGGTGGGGGGAGTAACAAAAAAGCAAGCAATCTTTGGGCCCCGGCCCAAAGAAACATCCCAGCGCTTGTTAACTAATCGAAGGGAATCCAACCGTCAGGCAAAAAGAAAGAGACGTCGCCAGGGGTGGAAACCTGCACCAAATACTCGCAAATAGAGAAAGGCACGAAAAATGCAGTTCAGGAAGGGTCTGGCTGCGTGCACGACCTGGAGGTACACCTGAACCTGCGAAAATACAGCAGTCTGGAGAAAGCATCAGTTACATCGCTTTATCCTGAAGATGCACAACTCCACCCCAAAAGAGAGGATCGTTTCATGCATGTATTATGAAGAGGGGAGCAGCAGTCCAGAAAATGCACCAGTCCATGCGACATCAAGAGAAATTAATCAAGTTGCCCACCCTGGAACAAAATCCGAGTACATTTAACTGAGTGGAAGACCAATATGTGTACCTCAGGGAAGAAGAGGATGCTCTGAGAAAAGCATGGATGGATGGATGGATGGATGGATGGATGGATGGATGGATGGATGGATGGAGTGAGTGAGTGAGTGAGTGAGTGAGTGAGTGAGTGAGTGAGTGAGTAAACTAGCTCAGAGAACATGATTCTCTATCATCTGGAGGAAAATTTGTGCAATAAAATATAAAAATCTTCTCAAGAGCGAAACATGAACCTACTGCCCTGGAAGGGAAGGTGTTCTTTGCTGACACTGTGGATGAAATGTGCTCGCTTAGGGAATCTAGCCCAGACATGGAAATATATCAAGAGATGCTGTGCTGTAGGGGAAAGTGCAAAAATCAATGTATGAAGCCAAAGAACTGCAAATCAATGCAACATAGAAGACAATCCAGGGATGGAAGGCAACACATGCATCCTTAAGGGCCTTTCCAGATGGTGGGGTGGAGGGGGAATAACACATTTTATTTTTGGGGCTATATAAATGCTAGCGCTGAATCAACAGCAGTAGAGCACACTACGTACTCCCCACGTAAATGCACTGGAGGACCAGAGAGGTTAATCTTTCTGACATTTTCTTTAAAAATGGGACAAGTATGCACTTCCTTTCTGGAGGGGAAGGAGAATGGGCAGCCTATAAAACACATTAAACATTTTTAAAGAGGCAGTGGATGCAAAACAAACAAGAGATGACAGGATAATATTGCAGCAGGACAGGTGTATTATGTTTAATTTTGTTTTTAAAAGGCTTGGGATGTATTCAGCTTTTTTTTTAAGTATGTAATTCTTTACTTAAAATTCATTGGTACATGGGTACTAGCCAATGGGTATTTATGCAGCCACAGACCTTGGTGGCATTGGGAGAGGGCCCAGGGAGCAGTTGTGGGTTTTAGGGTTGGCGCTACATGGTTCCCCCTTAAGGGAAATGTACTTTTGTGGGAAGATGACTAAATAACAACTTAGCACCTTAAATATAGTCTGAAAAAACCCCAAGGTAATAATCAACAAGGCTGTAACCATCCAAGCTATGCCCACACGTGCAAGCAAAAACAGTATGCTAAACAGAGCATGCCAACCAACTTCAGTAAGCATTAATTCACAAGCAAATATATTAAACAGCACATTTCAGAAGGATAATTCCACATAGGGAGATAAACCTGGGAAAGAACAGAAAATGTTATTTTCTATCATTTACAGTGTGTGGCCACATACAGTGACATAGCGATAAAATAAAATAAACCCTTGCCTACAATAACAATTACAGGTGCAGGAGAACTCAGAAAATAATACATTCATGTAAGCTACATGGTCATAAAAAAATCTGTAGCCCCTACTTCCAAAAGGATTTCTAGGGAGGATATGCACCCTGTTTTCTGATCCAGTCAATGCACTGGATTCATGCATTCATAAAACTCGGAGGGCTACGGAGATGGGCAGTGCATAAATGTTGAAAGCTACTCTTTAGAATTGATCCACTGAAATCTAGATCCAGTCTCTTATTACAGAGAGATAAATCTCATAAGCACTTGTATAACAATGTATATATTTTTCAAACATGTATTATTGTTTTTATAATAAAGGAGAATTACAGAGGAAGTTGATTTCCTCTGTGATGGGAATGTGTCCACCATAAAAAAGTCTTCATCAATCAAACCAGGATTCCCTCTAGTTTAGGAATGGGGAATCCTGATTCCAGGAGCCTCTTGACCTCTCTGGTGCAGCCTCTCAGCTTCTCTTTTCCGCTCTGTCCCCCCAGTTTGTCCTGCTTTTTTCCTCATATAAAAACAAGGAAAATGTTTGGGTGGAAATGCAGTTTTTCTTCTACTGCACTCTTGACAGAGAAAAGATTGTCACCTTGATCTAGTCCATCATTGTGGCTGAAAGCAGACAAGCAGTTCTATGAAGTTTGCAAGGAGGGCAGAGGGCCCCATTATTTTAGAATGTTTATAAATCAGAGCTATACTGCTTCTATAAATGGAAGTTCAGTTAATTATAGCACATCACTGATAGCATAAATACATTTCCTAAACTGAATCAAGCCAAGGAAAAGGGAGCCTTTGGACCTCCAGGTACTATTGGATTCCAGATTCCATCAGTCCTGGACAACATGGCCAGTGATGAGTACTGGAGTTCAATAGCATAAAGAGGACCACCGGTACCCTCTTCTAAGGTAAGCCAGAATGGCTATTGTGTTAGACTCAACATACACATTATGACACAAATATGTGAAGGCATTTCCATCTCCTTTCCCCTCTGCCCCCACCAAATATCTGTGGACAGAGGCATGTTGAACTTATCAAGGACACAGTAAACAGAAGTTTAAAACATTTTTGCAGCCCTTCCATGGTTTCCTAACTCAACTATCCCCAATGACTTTTCTATAATCAGAAGAGGTTGCATGAGTTAAATCAAGAACATTGTGCATCCTGTATGTTGTGTGTGAAAACAGCTCATGTACCTCGGTGGTGGGGTATAAGCAACACTGCATTGGCTTGCAAGATAGATGAACTTGCTTGAAATAAATCTAGGTTTGTGCTTGTGGCACAGTGGCCAGAATGGGCTTAAAGTGCATATGGCAGGGGTACATCTGAGGGTTCATCCCATGTCCTTCCAATCAAAGCACAAGGATGCCTTCTAAACCATTTTAAAAGGAGTGCCTACATGATACCATCTTTGTCTCATCCCAGTCCACTGCAGAGGGAGCTTTCGGAATACTGTCCTCTTACCTACTTTCTCCCAACACGAGTCTTGCTGGATGGATGATCTATGAAGCTTCCTTCATTGAAGAGGATGCTGATGATCTATGTGGCTCAGGGTTTGGGATCTGCTCAGCTTTTATTGGCCACTTAAGGCTGCTTCAGGCATGTTCATTTTCTCTTTTTATTAAAAAAAATTGATTAAACTTTAGAGACACTACAATTAATTTTCTTTTTTAAAAAAAACAACTTTGTGATAAACTAAATATAACAACGGCTCTTTTATGTTACCATTATGTGAAAGAACTATATAGGTTAAAAAAGAAAGCTAATCTATCATTAAAAAGCTATATAATGAAAAGGGAAAAAGGAAAAAAATCCTATATTAAACTAAGAAACAAAATAAAACCAAGCACTACACACACACATATACACACACACACACATTTCTAGGTTGTGCCATCCATGGCCAGCAGTGCCATTTCCTTACAGCATTTATCAAACACTTCCTTCTGCACTATCCTGGGCCCAGCTGACAACCTGTCAGTCAGGCTGTTTCATTTTTTAAGAAAACATCTCTATAATGCTTTTCTAGAACAGCACCAGACCCATGTTTAGGAATAGTGCAAATGACAGGAGCTCCAGCATGGAAGACTTCCATAACAATGACCTGTCACTTAGGACAACTTGAAAGATGGGAAACCCTTCAGCGGAAGCTCATGCCTTTAAACTGTCTTGCATTAAAGCTGTAAGGACATCGTCACTGGCAAGCCCCCTTACTGAGGCACCGCATTTTTATGAGACATTTTTCTTCTGTGTCAAGTCTTGAGGAATGCACATGAGGCAGGTAACCTGGTCTACACTGTCAGTGAAAGAGGCTGCGGATTGAGGGGGGGAAACCCAAACATATAAAGACCTCATGTAAGAAAAAACATGAGGAAGAGAGAAAGGTATCTACTATATTCAGAGAGAAGAAAACAATTGCAATGTAATCAAAGAAATCAAGGAGCAATCAAGATTAAGAGGGACAGAAAAAAATGCAGAGCAGCGTTGATGGAAATAACATGTACGTTGGAAG